TTAGTATCAAATACTTATTACATATATTTTATTTTAAAATAAATCAATCTAATCAGAGGATAAAAAAAACTATATTAAATAAGTAAAATCATGGAAAAATGTTAGTCTTAAAAAAACCAGTGAACTAGCAGCAATAAAATGACTAAAATTATTCCAATAATCGTCTTATTTAGTTATATATATTTAAGTACTTCTACAATGGCTCGAAATCACGGAGGTTTGTCGAAAAAAGAGTTACAAATATCAGCAGAGATGTTTAGAGAATTTTTGCAAAATAATAATGAAAAAACGGATCCTAGAGTCGATTTTCTTATCGACAAATCAGCAGAAGAGTTAGAAAGTTTAAATAATTTGAGCGAGTCTACGACGGAGTTTCCTGTACCAAAATATGAACCAACCAATAGACCAATAAATTATCCATGCGAAACGCCGAGTGGTAAGTAAAAATATTCATCTAATAAATCTCTATTTAAAAAATATTAATCATTTCTTTTGCAGAGTGCTATCCTGGTTCCCAATTGGATTATTATTCCCTAATTAATTATATTATGAGCAATCAATAATTTTTTACCAAGTAATTTATATTATTAATAATTTTTATGGGTTAAAAACTATTGAACTTAAAAATATAAAGTTGTAAGTTTAAAATTACTTTCTTGATAAGTAAGTTATTAAAAAGCAATTAATATTTTTTTTTATTCAATGTAATCATGTTATCCTACGCAATTATCATTAATTTGTTCTATTTATATTTAAAGATAAATTATAAGTTTTAAAAAAATTTTTATTTAATTTATTTGAAGAAATTTTCTTTAATTTAATTTATAATAAAATATTTATTTTAATTAAAGTGTACCAAGCCCATAACCTGTTAAAATTATTAACTACACATTTATTTTTAAACAATTATATTAATTGATCGCTTTTAGATGTATACAAATAATTTTTTTGATAAATTCTTAATTAAATGTTTAATTCAATAATTGTGCAAAATAATTATCACACAACTGCAAACTGTGATTCTCTATTTCTTCATCTTCCTTTGACATTGCACCACAATTATAATTATTAAAAATTATTATTATTGACCGTAGATATGTATTCAATGAAGAAGTGCTTTAATTAATTGGCTTAATTAAGTAATTGAGGTAATTAATGTCTCGAATGTTTTAAACGGTACCGATGGTATAAAAAAGGGAGGAATGTCGGTGTGTTAAGGAGTAAAAATATAACATTTCGCGGTGAGTTCGCTAAGATTATATCGACACTCGGTACACGCCTGCCTGGACTTCTTTCTCCTGGTTAAAAGTTATCTAAAATCTGTATGTGCAGCTCTTGTCCCTTCATCTTCTCGCGTGTCCTTTTACCTTTTTTATATATATTCTTCTTCTTTATTTACCCTTACTCTTGCTCTTACTCATCTTACAACAAATAAAAAAAACAAAATAAAATTTATCAGTCTACTTCTCGCATGTCATCTCCCATAAAAAACTAGAGCAAGATTTCTTGTCCCGTCAGCTAAATTGGTTCAGATGCCGCCGATTGCGATAACTTTTCTCGAGGCTGCCAGCGTTAAGACACCAACAAAATTATTTTATTTACTTGCATTTATAATAAAACAAATCTAAATAGTATAAAGAATCAGGTATGGTCTCAGTCTCAGTCTCAGTCTCAGTCACCGGACACCGAGTCACGTTCACTCAGGTTTAGTCGGTATTTCCTGCTCCGTCTCCGTACCTTCAGTCAACTCTGATTACGTCAGGATTTTTATTTTCTTCTATCTAGTTTCACGCTGATAAAAATCGTACTACACTAAAAATATTATTGCCTTTTTTATTTGAATTACGTGACTTGAATTTTATTTTATCCTATAATAATAATAAATATAAAAATTATAAACTTGTTTTTCTTCACTAAAAAGTTCTACCGTTTTTTTTTTTTTTTATTATAATAAATATTTCGCCGCGACACATTTGCTGTTAAATTTATTTTTATTCAATAAAATAATTATAAATTGACAAATTTTTGTAAAAAGTCAATTTTTTTATAAGTAAAATTTTTTAAATGTCTGAATTCAGTATTAAATTTTTTTTTTTTCACTAAAATTTAACAATGGTAAATCACAAAATATATATATTTTATATCAGCGCCTGCACAATAAAACTATTTCGAGCGACTGATTCGCGTGATACGCGATCATCTTTCAGCCCAATAATCACTCGTAAATCGATAAATCAAAAAATATAAATAACCAATCGACAATAACTCTTGATTTCTTTAAAATTGTTATTATTATGAAGCTAAGGAGTTATCGCTTTCAGTGGACTCTTTGATTTGTCTTTCGAACCAGACCACGAGACAAAAGCGACCATTAATCCAGTAAGGATTCCCCGGGGCTAACGAGCACTTCTTTCTCTCACAACTCTATATATTATTATTTATTATTATTATTTTTTATTAATGTGTGTGAATCTTTCAATGCGATAAAATAACAGCGTTACTTTTATAATTGGAGCGACTAAAAAAATTCAGGATAAAAAATTAGCGGATTTATTATTCAAAATTTCGAACCTTGAAAATCTTTTTAAAAATTTTTTGCATTAGAAATTTTATTTAAAATTTCTATTGTTAAGTTTCGATCCACTTTACTGCTTTAAGTGATAATATGTCTTATAATGAGGTTTAAAAATATTAATGAATTATAGACGAAGTTGAAGAAGCAAAAGTGGGGATTTTATAAGTGAAAGAAGGAGAAGTGCATTGAGTTTGCGCGTTACAATAAATTACATTTATCCCCCTGGTAGCTTTTACTTCGACTTCAACTTTAACTTTAACTTCAACTTCAACGTTTTTTTAATCCATTAATGGACGTTGTAACTCCTGCATGATTTCTTGATAAATTTTGGACTAGATACAAGAAAATAATGCTTCTATTTTAATTGATAAAAATCAAATAATTTTTTACTATTGTAGCTTTAATTAGTTGATTTCATTTTTGGCAAAATTTTGGGTAATTTTTATTTAAGAATTTATGGAAGAAAATAGAATAAAAAAATAAAATTGAAGTATTCGTCGGCGGAGTGAATTGTTAATGTAAAGAAATGAAAAAACCAAAAAAACTAGTAAAATATTGTGTGTCCGAAGTACAGGACAATGCATGGGCATGGGCATGGGTCGATTCCGATGCCGAATGAGTAATGCTGGGAGCAATCTACATCTTTGATAATAAATATCTCAAGACCTTCTATTCGCGCATCGCTCTTATGTATATGTATTTATTTATTTTGATTTTTTGTGGTTGTTTTTCATTAGGCTTTCATGTCTACCGATTCATGTCTGCTACACACATATATAACACCTACAACCTTTAATATTGTATACAAATATGTATAATATGAACCTGACTCGGTATTAAGATATTTTGAATCTTCTCTGGGTATCAAATAACTTTTTTAACCTGATAGAATTAAATTAATGAAGACATTCGAGGTAATTTGATATTATTTAATAAGAAGCTTACTTTGAAAAAAAAAAAAAAAAAAAAATATTTTATATTATTAGTATTAATATTTTTTCAATTTTTTAACAAAAATATTTTGATAATAATAATATTAAAATTTTTAATAAAAAATTTTTGAATTTTTGCAAAAATATTATTTTGATTAAAATTTAAAGTTTAAAAGTGACGAAAGAAGGAAAACAGATGATGAAGCACAATCTCTTTATTCCCTGAACCTCTTAGTATTATTATTTAGGCTGAAAGGAGCTAAGCAATGGATCTTTTCAGGGGAAAGGAAATAAAAAGGGAGAAGCAAAGTTGGGAAGAAACGAATAGAAGGCCAAAAAATAAAGAAAAAAGTCTACTACAAACTACAATGCACAATATATATATATATATATATATATATATATATATATGTGTGGTAGTATAAAATATATATGGCAAGGATAGAAAGCGAAAAAGCGGGTAAGGACCGAAATGGAGAACGGTGTGGAGGTAAGGACAAGATAAGCCTTTGTGCCGGACACGAAAAAGACCTCTCGTCTCATCTGAGGACTCAAGACTCAAGACAACGGATCCCGTCCAAAGACTCTTGTCTCATCTCACATTTCGCGAGCCACCGTCATATTTTACCTGGGAATCAGCTCCTCCACTTGTCAGGACTCGGCTCCAGATATTTCCCTTTTTTGCTCCTCATTTTTAGCTTCGATCAAAATATTAAGGCTTTTGACACAGCCGGTTATTGCGGTTAATTGAACAATAAATATTTACCAATTTTTTTGACACTCAAGTTATTTTTTAAAAACTATATAGATTTTTTAGTCAAATTTTTGGGATTGAATTTGTAAATAATTCAATTACTACAGAAGTAATAAAATAAAAAAATTAATTGGTATATTTATTATTTTTTTCATCTTGAATTTATAATAACTTAGAACAGAAAGTTTCTCAAACAAATCGTTCGATTCACTTCTTAAACAAATAAATTGAGTGCATTTAACGCACCATTTGTTTCACCGCGGGACTCAGAGTTCAATTCGCGGTTTACAAAAATGAAAATACAAACTCTGAGACTATAAAACAGTAATTGGAAGACATTTATCTGAAAATCCCGATCGATAATATTATATTAAAGACAATTAAATTCACCGATGCGTTGTTCGCGATTGAAATTAAAAACTCTAAGAGTGGTGTGGGTTTTACTTTATCTGGTAGTTATCCCTGTTTCTGGTGGGCATTATCAGATCTCTCGGGTTGTCATCTTGGAAGAATATACCGGCGACACGAGGAGAAGGATACGCGCGTGCGAGACACGCTATCGTTCTTGGAACATCTCGCGCGATCCTCGCGACTTTTCACGCCAGAATTTCCGGCGTATTTTTTATTTATTGCCGCAAGGTTTTATCTTTATGTTTATTTGGATTTTTATGCTCGCAAAGAAGAATTAAAATAAAGATAAGTGAAAAAAAAAAAATTAAGTGGTAAGAATGATGATCAACTAACCTGGCATGCAGACACACCGAAATGTTCCGGGATCGTCGAGACAGGAACCGTCATTTTGACAGGGATGAGACTCGCACTCGTTGACATTTGTTTCACATCTTGGTCCCGTGAATCCTTGGGTACAGTTGCAGGCAAAAGAACCCGGTGTATTCACGCAGATTCCATCGTGCTCGCAAGGAGAACCTGTAATTACAAAAAATAATACATTTTCATCTCAATTATTTATTTTTTTTACTACTAAATATTTTTTTTTATTTTTTTTATTAAAAAATTATTTATTTTTTGACTGCAAAATTTTTTATTTTTTACTAAAAAATATTTTTTTCCGATTAATTTTAATTAACTTAATTTTTTTTCTGACTAAAAAATATTTTACTATTTTTTTTTTTAAATCTAATTTTATTTTTTATTAAATCTTATTATATTATTATTTTTTAAAATTATTAAATATTATTTTTTTTTTTAATCTAATTTTTTAAAAAAAATTTTATTAGTTTAAAAAAAAATGTTGAATAATAACTTCAAGCCAAATTTCAAGCATTAATAAATTGTTTCTGATTATTTATTGATCTATATAACTTGTTTTAAAAAATGAAATTGAAATTTATTTAAATAATGATTACATTATTGCCGTCAATAACATAAATTGATTTATTGAGCCCTAGATAAATCTTAAATAACATTATTTATGATTTATGATTAACAATAATAAAAAAATGATTATGCCAAACTCTTACATAATTCGAGGATAAAAATAATCTTGTACTAATTAAATAAATTTGTCTGGTTATCTCACAAAAGTGGGGCCATTATCACGTCAGCCATCTATCAATCACAGGTCGCGGATAGACATTTGTTTTTATCAAGTAAAATAAAATTTATTAGCGGTTTAAAAAAAGAATAAAATCAATTAATATTTAAAAGATAATTCAATATCGCTCGGAGGCGATTGAGAAAAAGGAACGGCCAATTAAAAGGACTGGACGCATTTGTAGCCAATAAACGCAAGGAGTGATGCTCTTTGGAGCATGTATATGTATTTAGCAAATAAACAACCGAAGCTTCTTCTTCCCTTAGTTATCCACATAACACAATCCTCAATAAGCCGTACACACATTAAAACTCATCGGCTAGTACGTAGGTACTAAAGAATAAAGAATACGGACGCATTAATCATGCGGCGCGCGTCCATAAGCCTTTTAATTATCACTCGACTCAACTCTCCTTATGTTACATTGCTATTATATATAATACTCCCATAACAGAGCATCGACTTTCCCATTCGATTCGATTCAATTACTCTTTCGTTAATGAAAAAACATTTTTTAAAATATTTATCCCTGCACCTTTGTGGGAAACTTGCTCTACGCTAGTTTCATTTTTTTATATTATTATTTATTGTAAATTATAAATATTTAAGAATGATTGATTCAAAGTAAATGAACGCAAATTTTCTTGTAGGCTCTGGGATTTATTTTAATTTATTTAAGATTCTCCGTAAAGTTATTTATTTTTGTTCCTGTGCTACAGGAACTTAATCCACCAGAAAATATGCAATCTAGATAATAACAGAGTCGCGAAAGTGCTCGAGAGGTCATTATGGTTGTTATTAAACTTGAAATAACGTTTTAACATTTAATTAGGTTCATCCGTGAGATGCTAAAATGCTACCATATAATATTGTTATAGCAAAAATTATTGAACAAGGATTTTATTAAATCAAATGAGAGTTAAGGAGGAATAATAGTTCATGGTTAGATACTCTAATGATCCAATGTTCGAATCTTGGTCTGAATTATTTTACATTTTTTTTTTGCAATAATTTTGAAATTATTATTTATATTTTAAAAACTTTATTTAATAATTTATTTAATAATAATAGTAATAATAATAATAATAATTTTTTAATTCAATTTTGTTCAACAATAATTGAATTTTTAATTTTTTTATCACTCAAAAAAATCTAACAATTTCTTCAGATTAATAGTCCCAAAAAAAAAAAAACAAACTTAAATTAATAATTCATTCTCTACCGCGAATCAATCACTCCTATCAGCTGTAGAATTTTCATATTAATAGTTTGCTATGTCTTTTATTTCGATTATTACTCCACACCATCTCATTATCTCAGAAATATTTATTTCTCCAAGCATCAGCCACTGGAACTGTAAACACGTTCTGGCAGTGTGTTTCTTCTTGTCTTTATCTTCAGCGACGATGGATAATTCTCTCTCTTTTTTTCTATCTATATACATGAACCATAAGAGCAAGACCAAGAGTTGGCAATTACAATGCGTGAAAAAACGAACGCGAATTACACGAGAATGGTATGCGAAAACCCGCGTTATATTCTTCTTTCTCTTCTCTCACTCTTTAATAATGTCTTTTGACATGTCTGGGATCTACCCCTCACACCAATGGACACCATAATCTCGAATATAAATAAAGGAGAATAAAACCTCCGGGACATAACACCACAATAACAAAAAATCAGTAAATATAAATAGTCATACGTGGACGTATAACTTTTAAGAGGCTGCAATTAAATATGGCTTCATCAATTTAGCTTCTCATAAATGTTAATCTTAATTAAAGATACTCCCATGAGCAACAAGTCCAAGAACAGGACTAAAAACCGCGCGTCCCGATCGCTTAAAGAAAAGTCTATATAATACATGATCGCACACATTAAATAAATATGATGGATAATTGATGGCAGGTGCATGTGCTTATACAATCTTTGCGAAATTTCTCATTCTATCGCGTGTCCCTCAAGGGGTTTTATCGACATTTAAGTATGTACCAGCCTGGTTAAGTATAATAACACATGTGTATGCGAGAAGACAAAAGTGCTGAGGAATGGTAGCCATCTATGGGCAGATAATCGCACCCTGAATTCCATAATAAATTTTAAATCTGATCACGCTCGTACCTCGGATCATTTTTTTTTTTTTTTATTTATTTAGTTACTGGAATTATAACTGTGCTTTCACTCCTGCAAGTACGTTCAAATGCGGTGGACATGTAATAGATTATTGCAATCATGTTGGCAATTAAATCTATACAGTTTAAGTTTGTTTTATTTTTATTATTGTCTATAGAAAAAGCTATGCCTCTTAGCGTGTCACCCATCCAGATGCTTTTTTATCACAAATATTAATTATTAAAATTGTTTTGATGCTTGTTACACATTAATTGAATTAATTTAGACATTGGGAAGAAGTCAATTATCAATTATCTTGTTGAGATTGGTTCTAGAGCAAGAAATTTCTATGACGGGATTTTAGAAACTTCGGAGATATTTATTGGAAGAAGATTATATAGATGATGGATTAGAGATAGCTTGAGCAATTATAAAGTTATTTATTGAGTCATTAGATAGGAGTTTGATTGATGATTACCATTCAATTTTATAATGTGAAGTTTTGTATGCAAGGGATTAATGGAGTGAAAAAATAATCGCCAAGCCCTTACTGATTATAGGCTTGATAATGTATATTTGTGAGTGTACTAAAGGAGTTATAAGGATGTAAGATGCAATGCAGGTTTGTATTATATTATATTGTGCTGTGGTATAATCCCAAACAAAAGGACTTCATTAATAATCAGAAGCACTGCTTTTGTGTCTCGTATTACGGATCCAGGCGTTGTATAAATGGATTTATATTTATCAGGGCGAGATATCGTTTCATCTATTTTGGCTTTGTATTTTTCATTTTTTATTTTTATTACTTCTTTTTCAGTGTTGTTAACCTTTTAGATTTAATAATGAATAAAAATCTTATTTTTACTATTTTTAGATCTAATAATTTTTTGAATAAAAACTGAGAAAAAATTTTTATAAATTCTAAGTAAAGTTTAATTTTTTTTTGCATCATAACATTTTTTAAAGAATAAATAAAGTAAATTTCCAAGCTTAGACTTGATGAAAGATCTCTCATCATGGTTGATCTTTTGATCAAGTGTCATGACTTGGCTCAAAGAGTGTAATTATAAGTGCATTACTTGAACAAATCATTAGATCTTTCTTCAATATTATGAATATAAATAATAATTACTTATAAACAGAAATGTCTTGAGGCAATTCGTGCTTTTTAATTGGAAAAAGGAAAAAACTGCAGTCTTATTTTTACCATTGTACCCATTTATGAAATTACAATTATTAAAGATGTAATTTTATTTTTATTAATGTAATGGTTATTTAATTTCGTTGAACGGTAAAAATATATGTTGTGTTATTTTTTAGGCTCGTAAATTTACAGTGAATAAATTGTCTCTGGGTATAATACAACTGGTGAGTAGTGAATAGCAGATAGTTTATTGCAGAGCCTTATAAAACTGCTTTTTACATCAGCTTCATCTACATATGTGACTCTTTATATATGTGTGTGGAAAAAGGATACACAGTAAGAGGTAAAGGCTTGAATAAAAGTGCGGTACAAGTATATTCTTAAACTGGCGTTTTATCGTTTGGACGCGTGAGTTCACGGCACACACAAACGCGAGAATGGAAAATAATAAAATCATGAAAATAATACGAACTGGTTAGGTCTGCTCTGTCTTTTGTATGCAGAGTGTAGAATGTAACAATATAATGTAGCTATATAATAGCGAGAGTTAACTCATGAGAAGCTTTTACACGTGGGCATTAAGTCAGTCCGGAATTACTAGTCGGACAAAATTTTTAAAGTTAAAGGTATGACTATTATATTGCAATCAACGACTTTATATCTTAACTTTTCACGGATAAATTATATGGATATTTTATTTTCAATTTAAACTAGCACCCTGCAGTTAAAAGTCACTAAAAATTGTGAATAAAAAAACTAGCTTAATTATTTGGTATTTTTATTACAATATTTATTAGAAAAAACAATTAGTTAAAAATTTATTATCACTTTAAAAAACCATTTAATATCTAATAGAGGTATAATATATTAGTTTGGGTCATTTAAATAATTTATAATTGGACTATTGCTACATCAAAATGCTAAAAAATCACCTTCTAAAAAATAAGGAGTTAGACCAATTGCTAATTAGACCGTCGATATAAAACTTTTCTGCTGTTAAATTAAAAAAAAAAAAATTTCAATAAGTAAATAAATAATAAAACGGCATTATATGAACCTGGTCACCCCCGAGGGTCGTTAAAAAAGCCCCCAGGGGTATCAACTTACGGCTCACTAGCTGTTCGTGTGGCGACGTTGCCGAATTTCGCGTAACAATAGGGCCCTTTGTTACTAACGCGACAGGTAGTACAAGCCCGTGGACCCATACACTTTAGACTTACACATACACATACTGTAGTCGAAGCAATACAAAATAAAAGTTCCCGGTAGAGGTACGAGTCCTTAAGATTCGGATTTCGTTATTTTATTTTTTATTTTCGGGGACCTTTACTTTACTTGGACGGTACGGGTACAAGGTAAGGGGCCTCTGACCCAATCTTTAACATTATAAATTTAAGCCAGCGGCATGTGTAAGTTAAAGCCGTATTCTTCCGCGTTTATTTATATATATAAAGAATTTTTGTTTAATGTTTAAGCATGTGGGTAATTCAACGCCGGACATCCACGACGTCATTGCTCCGAAAGGCTTCTTGGAATTCTTATTAATTCATAAATCTCATATCAAATTATTAGCCAGAAACCTTTTACTCGACAAAATTCTTCCGATGTTTCTATCTCAACTCGGTAAATAATAAATAAAAATTATTTTTTATCTGCTGTTGATCAAAAAAATAAGAAACGAGTTGAATAAAATGATTGATAATTGCTGGTATTAATTATCGGAGCGTACAATCAAGTTATAAATATCATGAATGTTTGTGATATAATGAAAGATGGGCTTGAAGGGTGACAACGATCGCCGAGAATTGAATGCTGGGTTTCTGGCTAAAAAATAATTACAAGTAACTACATAAGTATACATATGAGTTTTTTTTTTAAAAGTGGATGAATACGAGGGGTAAGACTGAGACGCTCGTCGATTATTAAAGAACCCCGCGGGGAGCTTACAATCGCGAATGTGTCCCGGGGCACATAAGACATGAGATTACTCGTCGATAATAACGATCCGGAGTACAGTCGCACGACATATATTTTTTTAGATGCTTCTTCATCGTCCAGTTTAGCTTCAGGCTTGATCATGATTCCCGCATCGGTATGCAGATAAGATCATATTTTCTTAGGATTTTATTTTATTTTATTTTATTTTTTTTTTTTTTTTTTTTTTTTGCGGAAAAGATGGAGATTATAGAGTTTTTATGGGTAATTATTGTTTTTATAGGGAAATGTTGTTTGTAAGAATGTCTTTGGTGTTTGAACTTTTAAAAAAATTTGAGCTTTTTTTAAGTTTGAAATCTTGCTAGTTTTAATTTTATCAATTAGAATTTTTGACTGCATTTAAATTATTTAACTATTACTTTAAATTTTATTAATTTGGGCTTTTAAAAAAATTTGAGCTTTTTTAAACTAAAATTTTATTAATTTTAATTTTTTTCAATTAAAATTTTTAACTAAATTTAAATAATTATTTATCTAAGCTTCAGTTGCTTTGAATATTTTGAATTTAAACTTGAAAAAAAATTTGAGTTTCTCCAAGTTTGAAGTTTTGGTCTTTTTTATTTTTATCAATTACAATTTTTAACTTTTATTGATCAAACTTGGTTTATAATTTGAAATTTCCTTTAATTTATTTTAAATATTAAAATTAATAATTTTCACTTAAAAATTTTCATAAAAATAAATTGCTATTTATTTTTGATTCAACATTAAAAATCAAGTTATTTTTTTCCTTTACTCCATAAAAAATTAACCAAAAAATTATTAATTATAATTTTCTTATAAAAATTAAAAAATCTTACCTTGAGCACACTCGTTCTGATCTTGCGAACAATCGATTCCTTCATACCCAGAAGCACAAGCACAAGTATAAAAACCATTGATGGGACTTGTGTTACATATTGCACCCTCGTGACATGGATTTGACGTACAGGCATCATCAAGATGACATAGCAAACCTGAAAAAGCATAAACCGTATAAACCACCTACTGGCCAGTTCCTAATTAATGAACTAATAAATAAAATAAAATAAAATCAGAAGCATTGCATTGAATCGATAAAATTAAATTGGATATTTTATAGTATAAATAATGAAATACTGTAGAACTGGGTAAAAACCCAGGCAGTATGAGTTGTAATTGTAAATGACGAAGGCTCTAGTAGTACAAAAGTGTCAGCGGATTACCAAAGATGGACTGGAGGCTCGGAGCCAAAGAAGGAGATCAACAAACGTAACGATAGAAAATAAAATTTAAAGACACTGGTATTCCGTATATATATATATTTATAAATATAAACTCTTTAATCTTAACTCGTATTGTGAGGAATTGAATAATAAAATTGAATCCCGATATATACGATCTGATGCATGGGGGGCCCGCTTTTATATACATTTACAGAGTTACAAAGTGTTTACCGACAAATAATACTCCCGATAAATTACATTAACTCTTTTCTTCTCGTATATATAATACAACACATGTTATTATTATATTGTCTTTTATTTATAAACATATAGTATCTGTTTCTGGTGAATAGAGAGACTAGATATAGAGACTGCAGCCTTTACTTCCACTTGTTTATCAACTTTCAAGAGTTCTAATCACCCGTCAATTGTAATCCGTCGTAGGTATGGATGTATGTATGTATGTATCTTCTGTAGAAATGTGGATTATAAGAATGTTGGTAGTGCAAAAAAATAAAATGTTTACTCTCGAGTTGAGATTCAAGACTCAGACTTGAGGATAAGTGGACAAACATTAGTTGAGAATTCAGGAGACATCTGTCGTTATGTTATTGCTGCTACTACTTGCTAGACTAAGAGACTATACGGCGACCTCGGGTGAATCTAATAAGGAGATGCTTGATGAAAACTATCGAGATAAACACACCTGCGTTCCGAGGTCTAGTTTTCTATTCAATACAGTGCTTGCTGATTTATTTTTATTTTGTCTAAAGATAAATTTATTTATATGACTTTAATTCTACTTTAATTTATTACTTGAAAAATAACCCCCATGAAAAAAAAATATGTGTCGAAATACATAAAAAATATATAAATATATACAAATTATGTATAGTAAATATATTCAAAATATATTTTTTTCATATTTTTAGCTATGTATTTTAAGATATATCTTGAATATATCTAAAATATATATAAAAATTGGCCAAAAGTTAGTTATTAAAAATATATTTACTATACATTTTTTATTATATATTTTTTTTTTTTCATTGGGAAAATGATTTTTAATTTATTTTATTTTGAAAAATTTGAATTTCCCGCGCTTATAAAATTCAAATCTCCGCCATTTCAAGTGACCCCTGCCATCTTGTCGAGGACTTAAAACCAAAGACTAATCGATCTTTTGGGTTGTAAAGCTACTGATAAGGTCCTTATAGGTTAAATTAAATGAAATTATCAATAAAATCGTACCAGTCTTTCCGGGAGTGCACTGGCAGTAAAAACTGCCAACGCGGTCGATGCAAGTAGCGCCATTGAAGCAAGCCGCTGCATTACAATCGTCGATATTGATACTGCAGTCAGCTCCAGTCCAGCCGTTAACACATATGCAGGAGTAACTTCCATGCGAATTGGTGCAAGTCCCGCCATTGTGACAAATAGAAGGGCGGACCGAGCACTCGTCAACGTCAGTTTCACACTGCGGTCCTCTGAATGTCGGCGGACATAGACATGCGTACTCATTAACTCGGTCCACACATGTCGCGCCATTCTGACACAGGTTTCCTATGCAGTCGTCGATGTTCTCTTCGCAGTGTTGGCCTCTGAACCCTGAAAGTAAATAAACAAATAAATTAGTCCAGATTATCAGAGCCAAGAAATGATTTTTTTTTTATTATCTTTGTTTATATTCTTAAAAATAAGATGAGAGCTTGGTAATTTTTTAAATAATAAACTAAGGAATTTTCAATGGGCTGACCTTGTACTGAAGTTGATGTCTTAATTAAACATGCATTTTTTTATTTATTTACAACCATTAAATTGATTTATTCAACCAGACCTTGAAAGTCATGACCGTCAATAAAAATTATCCCGTTTAATTTAAATTTGCGCAATTATTTTTTTGTTTTGTTTGATAGAAAAATAATGAGAAATTTTTGGATAGACTTCTAAGCGAAGGAAGGAAATGAATTAACCACAGAAATAAACGGAGTTTGATAAGCAGAGGAGGTGTTGGGTATAATTGATAAAGATGAGAGTTTTGCTTTAATTTCCTTCCTAAATTATTTATTTATTTATATGATTGTGAGTGTGTGCTAGTATGGATATATCTAAAGTATAAAATATTATAAAGTGTAATCATGGATACGATAGCAAGAACGTGGGAAACAAAACCGCGAAAGTCGAGAAGATAACGAGGAAACGATACCTTCCTTCCTACCGACTTCCTTTCCGGCTTAGTTGCTTCAATGAACTATATGTAACACACTCTATACTCTATGCAATGTTATACCTAGTTTTATTTGTTTATAATGCTTTTACCCGGTTATTAACTTCAACTTCCATATATTTTTTATAATTATCGCTATTCTCACAAATACTAAACCAAGAGGAGAAATAATAAAATATATAATAATTAAATTAACAAGCTGAGCGCTCTCACGTGCTCAGACCCCGCGAAATTTATTCCAAGTCTTTGTTTTTAATAAAAAAAACACGCTTTTTTACATGTTTGCTGTTTAGTTCTCACATCAAACTCAGCGATCGGTTGTTATAGGTAATTAATTGGTTCACACTACGCGAAAATTGGCTTGAAGAAAGTTTTTTTAATTGGTGAGAAATTTTGCGACCAATTGCCGTTTTTTCTCAGCATTCAAACGAGAGATTGTGATTATTGGTTTTGTGAGAAAAAAGACATTTTATGTTTGATCCAGAAAAATTTATTTTAGTTTTTATTTCTTCCCTTAAACTGAGAAGTTAGTTTTAAAAGAAAGTTTAGGAAATAATTTAGAGTGGACTAAAATTTAGACTGCGGATGCAGAATTTATAAAAATTTGCCTAAATATTTCTAGATTCAATTCGATTAAACGATTCAAGACACGCCAAAAATGTTGTAGTTTAAAGTTAAACAACAAATATCTAACAAAAAAGATCTATACGATTAGACGCGTGAAATGATTAGTTAAAAGCCAGAAGCATTCGACCAGAAAAATAAAAATAAAATTTATTATTCCAAGGAAATAAATAAAAATGTGATTTGGAATGGAGGTATTACAAAAAAGTATCGAATAAAAATATGCTGGCCTTAGTGGGTGATGCATACCTACTCGTGGACCATAGTTAGCATCTAATGGCCCGCATAATTTATACCCGATAGGGCAGCTTAACTATCCAATCCCGTATACTATATTCTACACACATGTAAATAAAAGACACACACACACACACACATGTGCTCAATAAGCAAATACTTGAATAATTCAGCAATGCTTAGGATGTTCTATACTATATTATGGTATATTAGTATAGACGAAACATTATTATACGATTATACATCACTGGATTGGACAAATATAATATTATACGTGTAATGTGTGAGACAAACTAGTGTAGAGTGTAAATGTGGTAGTTTAAACACTTTATCCATACACTGTTCTCGTATCGGGAACTATAAAACTACTTAATACTTAAAACTATTTCTCTACTCGTGTTCTTAAGGGTCCACGACTTTATTATACAGCCCAGCGAGAGCTGGAGCTATATAATAAGCTATAAGATAACATTAATATTAACGCGGGCCTTTTTTACTGAATAATATTATAATTTTTTTCTTTTTTTTGGTTAATGGTTAATATTTAAATTCTTCAGTTTTATTAACTCGTGGGTTGTCATTTTTCACTTCGGAAATTTATTCTGGGGAATTTATTTTTAATTAAGAAAATTTTTTAAAATAAATAAATTCAAGTATTACAATTCAAATTAAATTAATTTTAAAAAAATTTATTTGTAGAAAATAAATCAAAGTATCATATTAAAAAATTAATTGTTTTTTATGAAAAAATTTGATGCATAAAATACTTGAAAAATTTTCTATTTTATTACAAACGCCCAGAATATTTATTGAAATACCATTAGTTTGTTATTGTTTATATAAATAAAATAAAAAATAAAATGAAATGAAAATAAAAATGTCTTACGATTTACAAAAGCTTGGCGAATCGATTCTTACGACTATCGATACACAATACAAAACCGGTAAGAACAAAAGAGTCCGCTTTCTGCCAGTCACTATCGCACATATTTGCCCGCGAATTCGTTCCGACAGTTTTTGCCAACCGATGGGCATGGGCATGAGCAATAGTTACTTTATATTTTTATTTTATTTTTTACTCGACAACCCAGGACTTTCTGCAGCCGACTGGCTAAAAACTAACAATCTAAACTGAAACTCACAACTATTTAATCTGTCGCTGTCGATACGAGAATGAAGCCCATTAATAATCAAACGCTATAAAAAACCGACTTTTAGATAAATTATTATTATTATTATTATTATTATTAAAAAATGAGAAATCTAAAGCTCACCCTTATTCTTATTTCCATAACCTTATTCTTATTCCTGTCCCTGGAACAATTCCCCGAATATTTTTTTATCTCGATTTTATTTATCAGGTATCGGACTCGCGAATGTTAAAGCATGGGCATGGGCATGTGAGCATACAAGGCCTTAAACGGTCCATACTTTATACAACTGGAGACTCCAGAGCTGGAGTAAAAGGCGATGAAATAAAAATAAAAATAGCAGCAAAATCGAATTGAACGAGACAGAAAAAGTCAAAAACAAAAAAGTATTGAAGTACAATAAAATAAAATAAAATAATCTACGAAGTGTGCTCTGATGGTGAAGAAGGCGTAGGTGCGTCGGACGGAAGAAACGAACCCGCTACTTATAAATCAACGGCGGTCCCCCATAATTGCGATTGTCCGTGGTTATTCAGTTTCTTCCCTCTTATTCCTTACATATACATCCTACATACGTGTGCTATGTATTATTCTCTTCTCTCTTTACCGACGTCTTATCCCTCCCTCCCTTTCATATATTTATATTATACATACTCTATTCTCATCCTTCAGATCGACTACAACTACATACATTATATTACTAAGGTAGAAAAATATATATACACATATATAAAAGCATCTACATCCCTCTACTCGCGATCCGCGATTCGAGCGTTCTCCTTTCGGCTCAGTTCTCGTTTGTTACATTACTAAATAACATTAGAGCCTCCATATGTGAATCTGTATAGTATTTGTTAATATGAGCTCAAGTACACATATGTTACATTTTATATTATACGTAATGTACACTGAAAAAAAAATTAACTTGATTCAAGAGAAAAATTCTTGAACCAAAAATATAATTTTGAAGAGGATAATTGTCTTGAATCAAGTAAAATTTCCTTAAATCAAGAATATTAAGTTCTTCAAAATTATATACTTGATTCAAGAACATTTTTTTGTATAGATAGACACTATCATCGATTCATTTACTTATTCGCAGCTAAGGAAGGCTCTAATAGTTTTTATTTTATTTTTTATTTAATTGACAACCCATAGGTGTGCGATGTATAAGTTTGAGATTTTTGAACCTGGTTCGGCACTCAGGAGCCTGTACGAAAATATTTCCAAACTGTCGGACGCATGCTTTTCTCTTCTTTATTTTTCATTCCTTCCGGTTCTCGAAACAGGACAACGGCTTCTCGGTTTTTATCTTTTTTATGCAAAAAATGCTTTCCATTTAGTTGTGTGGCTTTAATGGTTTTGGAGAAAAGTTTTTTTGGGAGAAATAGCTCGTTAGTTTTTCAATTATTTGGACTGTTGGAGTAATTTTAACTTCAAGAAGAAAAAGAAGAAATATAACATTTATAATTTAGAAATAAATTAAAAAATTCTAAAATTGCATCCTTAAAATTTTTTTTATTTCTTAGACGGAATTTTCAACAAATATTTTTGAAAAAAAGTTTACCACAATAAAATAAAAATCTTTACTCCAAAATCATAATAAAAATCTTCCAACTGATCTACTTTTGAAGTAGTAGCACATCCCCAATTGAAGATCTTTTACTTACAATGTATCCATCTAAATATAATTGAAAATCGTGGTATAGAATTTTATTTGCCGAATTCTTAAATCCGGGTGTTTCTTAAATTCTTGAGCATGAACATATAGAAAAGATCCCGGAGCATAATCCCAAAAAAATAAACTAAACCACATACACATCGTATCGAAAAGCTATTGGGGTCCGGTGTCTGGTCCAGAGAAGGGACGGGTGTCTTTCTCGCTCCTCAACCATCAGCATCAGCATCTTCCACAGCACAAACACACACAACCTTCTTTATATCAATACAACACATCGCATCATATCAGTATTAGTGTATAGTAGATAAATTTGTGCGCGTGCACGTCCACATATCACATGTGTGTAGAGTGTCGGGTTATACACACATATGTCGGCGTATTTCCATCTCTTTCTGGCTGGAGCCGTGGATTTCCATCCCTGTTTTTATTTCTGTCTCATTCGCTCTTTAGCCGGGTGTTTATCTTATTTTCTTTGGTGTTGTCCCTGTCGAGCACGCTTAGAGAGAGAAAGAAAGGGTCTTGCTCGGATGAGGTGTGGCAACGTTGCGAGAGCGGGTGTGCGTCCTGAGGCGGCCCCGATAAATGGTGGGGACTGTGGGAAAATTCTCATGCCGCTGACTATGGTTAACAGTGACTCTCAATCTATTACAGTATTATTTTTATTTTCATTTTTATCCTTTGTACTTGGATTAATAATTATATTATCTACATATTAATTGCTTTTCTGCTAAATTTGGATGATTTGTTTCACTCTTGGATCAAAGTTTGAGAGAAATGGTACACTGGTACTCTTTTATGGGTCTAAGATTAGGATTCAAATCCTTGAGAACGAGGGATGAAAGGATAGGATAGGATTTTATTGTATTACAGTGCAGGCGGGAAATGGGAGACACTGTTATTTAATTGTTCTATTGAAATAGTTTAAGTCCCGTATAATAATGCGAGGTTGTTGGTTTTTGAAATCAGATGTAAGGTAAGATGCGCAGACACGAGCAGGCAACGGGTGGTCACGAGACTCAATCTCTCTGCGGGGTATCCGGAAAAATTTGTCTTTTTGGGTTTGCTAATCCTAGGGGAACATTATCCTTGGATGTGTTGATGTTAATTTGGGAAAAATAAAAATTATAACACTTAAAATATGAAAGAAAAAAATGAATTTTTTAAAAAAAGTGGTCTTTTGAGATTGTCAAAAAATTAAAAAGAAATATTGAAAGATGCAATTGATTTTTTACAGAAGATTTAATTGATAGTGTTGTCTAATTGATTTGAATTGATGAGATGTTAGTTTATGATGTATTTGTTATTTGGGTTAGTTAATGAAATAAGTATTTAAATAGTGAGAATAATTGATACTTTTACCGTTAGGTTTTTTATACATTATCTATGAGGAAATTCGAGTTATTAATAAGAACTGAGGAGTATATATTTTAAATTTTTGATCGCTATCCCTAGCTCTATTTATGGTATGATCATTTCAGCGTGATATTTAGTACTCGTTAAAGACACCTAATGGTCTCAATGCCTTTTTTGAAGTGTTTATATAAATATACATAGATCCTTTAGCTTAGAATTTTATGTCAGTGCTCTTTAATGTTTAATTAATTTTTTTTAATTTAAGAGAATTGAAATGGAGCAATGAAATTTATTTTATAAAATTTAATAATCAAAATAATAGTCAATTAAAAAAATAGCTATATTATTATTATTAAAAATGTATAAGTAGAGCAATGAAGTTTATTGTATAAAATATTTTTTTTTTTCATAAAAGTAATTTGATTTTTAAATAATAATTATTATTGTTATTTATAAAATAAAATATAAGGTAGTTTTGACCTTGATCAGTCGTCTGCGATTTGACATTTGTTGAATTTAATTAACCAGCCTATCGACGAATTTATAACCATATACACAGATGAAAGTACATATATGAACGAAAGTGGATGGATGTGGGTGGATGGATGAATAGCTGGTAGTAAGCGGATCGGTTTTAAGGTCCTTTGATGGCGGTCGTTTTGAGAAAGACTGAAAAGAAGAACGGGCCCTTGACAAAAATATGCGGAGATTGCGGATTGCAGGGCAAGTATGCCAAAAGAGAGCAGTTTAAGATGAGGGAGGAATTGGATAAGAGGGACCAGACAAGAGGATAGTTTTGTTTAGAGAGCCAGTTGATCGACAAGACCTAACTCTGAAGAAAGACAGTCAACACCGGCAACAGGTTAGCTATAAGACAATCAACAGGTTGTTTTCGCATGCCGGGCCGTCTCTAAGGCACGCAAACTAGTCTCTTTAAGTTGCCAACGGCCACCAGTAAGCTCCTTTAGGGTTAGTTATTTTTAAATAACTAAATATTTTCGCTGTTAATAAAACAGGGCGAAAATTGTTTTATTTATTTATTTATTTATTTATTTATTTGGTTTTAAACTCAACCGCCGACAGGGTTTGCTGATTTAACGATAGACTAAGCATAATATAACCAGACTCACGTGTTTTTTTTACACACGAGGTTTATGTTTAAGAACAATAGAACCTGTTCAGTGGTATTGTATTGTTATGGACGTTTACAAATAAAAATATATATTGTTTTTTATTTTTTTAAAGGCGTCAAATGTTTATACGAATCCTAAAATAATTTTTGAATTTTTTGTCACGTGATATTTTATTTTATAAATAAATATTTATCATTTAAAATTGGTATTTACTAAAAAAAATTACAAATTTTTAAAACAAACATTAAAAAAAATTTGTCAGTATCAAAATAAAATTAATACTAAATATTTGAAAATTTTTATTATTTTTTTAACAAATAAATTTGTATAAAAAAGAATTCCTTATAGAAATTAAAAAAAAAAAAATTGAGTAGAGGTCGAAAAAAAAATTTATTTTTTAATTTTGATAAAATTAAATAAATATAAAAAGCTTTAGCTACTTTAAAAAATTATTTAAAAAATAAAAATTCAGCGGTTTTATGAAAAAATATCAAATATAATATTTTCAATGGACAAAAAAGCAAAAATAAGGGATTTTCTCGGGCGATTGGAGACTCGAGAGACATCGATCCCGTGAGACAAGATGTTTCCAGGTCGACGGTCTTTCAGGACTGATATCGCGTTATGTACGTGGTCCAGTGGTGGCTGTGGCTCAGGAAAGAGAATGAACAAGACAGTACTTGATATTGCGGTTGGTCTTGCCGCATCATACGATACTTTGAGATGAATAAAATAAAAAATAAATAAAGAGCTCGCTGGATAGGATAGATTTATCGTGATTCTTAGTATATATATATATATATATATACATAAGAAGACCATAAGAATATAAGCAAAGTAAAGTAAAGAAAGGAGTAGGAATATAAGATGAGAAGACGCTGAGAAGCTGAAATAAAAAATGAGAAACAAAGAGGAGAGCCGGTGTCAAAACAAGAACCCGTAGGAGGTTTATAAGAGAGAAGTGAGTGCTATCACGCCCGCTTTATCTTCCTTCTAAGAGCTCCGGAGAATGAGACGACTTGAGAATCGAGACGAGACACACATACACAGATCCATAGTCCTCCAGCCAGCTCTCCAAACAATTCTTATTCTTATTCTTATTTTCATTCGAAATTCTTTTTATTTATTTATTCATTTTTTAGTTTTATTTTATTCGTACGGGGCATTAAGTTTCGCTAGTATAGACCCAGACTCAGGCTCAGGCCCTCGTATCTATTCTCCAGCTCTTTTGAATATCATACGAGTACTTCAGCCTCAAGAGGAGGCAACCCAATGTGGGTGTGCCCTTGGTTATTTGCATACATGCGTACTTGGTACATACTCATCAGCCGTAGCTTTATAAACTATAGTTATTTAAGGCAGTATTCTACTTTTAATCAGTTTTTATGGGATTATTATTGGAGATATTGAAGGAGGGTTTATTTGAATTGTTAAATACACTTTGAAATACATTAAAAAAAATATTTTTTGCCTTTTTAAAATAATAAAACAATCGCTGGATTAGAATTTTTAATTTTCATTTAAAAATCAGAGAAAAAATGAAAAATTGTAAGATTTTTTACAAGTTTTAGTTAAGAAAAAAAAATAAATATAAAAATGGTAAAAATGTAAAAAAAAAAAAATTTTTTAATTTTAAAATAAAATAAAGTTGAAAAATTTTTTTGACTGAAAATTTTGGAAAAATGTCATTAAATTTATTTTTAAAAAATAAAAAAAAAAATAATTTAATTTATTTAAAGCTTTAAAATAAAATATTTTTAAGTAGCTTTGAATTTTAATTCAACTTGGAAATTTTTTTTAAAATTGACCATTATTTTTTGTGATTAAAATAAAAAAAGTGAAGGTACGACTAAACTGTCACCTACAAAATTGGAAACTCTGTAAGATTACCAGGGACTCTTTGGTGTTCGGCGACGTTTAACCTGAGTGGGAGGTCGTGTAGAACTCGTATCGGTGAGAGGAGAGCAAGGGGGTTAGGTATAAGGTATAAGTCTCGGTCTTCTGGTACCAGAAGAGAGTTCAGTAGAGGCAGAAGTAAGAAAAAGAAGGAGGAACGAAGAAAGAAGAAAGAAGAATACCGTGGAAGGGCTTTAGAAGAACGAAACAAGAAATAAAGAATGAGGTAAAGAAAAAGATCACGATGCTAAAGGGGGTCCCACCCACTCTAGTGGGCCCTCTTGGACTCGTGACCACCTCGGGCTGATATGTCGAACCGAAACCCTTGCTTTTCTCCTTGTTCTTTTTTTACTTTATTATTTATGTTTAATATTTCCCATGACTCCCTATGACTTGCTCTTTGTAATACAAACATAATTCAGTATATATTTATATTTTAAATTATTTATTTATTGTTCTAGTCTGTTTTGTTTAGTTATTAAAATTATCATTGTTAAATAATAAATATTGTTGATTTACGAGCGGTTAATTTACAGGGCCAGTTTTGCTTTGGATTAATAGACGCATTCACACGCCCTCTCACGATCTCTATCGAACACTCTACTTGTATCTGGATAACTATTCACTTATCTAAGTGTACTGAAATATATATCTATATATTTATATATTTATATATATTGTTTTCCCAGTCAAACTCTCACTTTGGTAAGCTCACTGTCTCATTTGTTACATCACCGATAGAAGCTGCAAGAGAGACTGTCTCACGTATCGAGACAAACTCGTGCCGTTGCTCATTCATTTTTTTTGTTATATCAATATCAGTAGTGAAATGTTCATTTTTGTC